GGAACCCCTTGAAACAGGCCATATGACCCCTTCCCCTCCTAACAGTAGTCACACCTACCAGCCGAAGTGCAATATGTTCCCCTCCTCCCACTGTTACAGCATTTGCCATATAGTCAGCCCCAAACATGATTTTTTAATGAGTCAGGCCTCCAGATCATGAAATTGGCCCAACAATTATGCTGTTTTTTAGAGAAAGTAAATGTTGGTTTATTTTTATTTACCACCTGGTATTAAAGTCCTGAGGGTTGTGTGCAGGTCATCTTTGCAAGCTGTCCCCCAAGCAGTAGGGCTATAAATCTACTCTATGAAAACTGAAAGTCTCATGTTAGTACTGCTTGTCTCCAGGAGCTGGAGCTTTTATGGAAAATACCCAGGATGCCAGAGAGTCAGCACTCCTGTGTTTTACATACACAGCACAGCAGGATAGATTGAACTAGAAGGGCAGAAAGCACAGGGCAGCTGAAACAGCTTGAAGCATAACAGTACAGAACAGAGCATGCCAGGCAAGTACTGGGTCCATTTGGTTGCCTAATATCTGGTTGCTCCTGAGTATCATTTCAGAATGCTTCACCAGATGGGAGACGCATTGTCCACTCAGTCTTTTTAAAGACCTCTCCCCAATATACGCTTATTTTATTGACTCTTATCAGGCACAATTTTGGCAGGGGGAAAGTAGGGTGAGACCATCATTTCCTTGCCAAACTCACCTTCCATCAACCGCCCTCTCCCTAGGAAGCCAAATTCTACTTTTGGTGACCCCTGGACTTCACCCAAGTCAGGTGGGGATAAGGGGGGGAAAAATAAGCATCCAGTCCTATACCACTGAGCTCCAGGACTCTTTGCCCTCTGGAGGGAAATATTATGGAGAGTAGCCACAACCCAGCCCCCTTGCCTCTGTCCACTTGAGGAAGTGGACAGGAATTCCCTCAGCATCCTCTTGCCGTAAGGGTTTCTCTAGGTCAGGGCTAAACAGCCCTTTGTAATCCCATTTCACAATAACATATTTCATAATCCTTGATTTGCTTTCTATAACACGTAGACTTCAGCGATTCTAAAGCAGAGAGCGATACTCCTCACTTATGATGGTATAATCCCTAGGCCAGTTCTGCGATACAGTTCTTCGGGAATTTCCTCCAGCCTGCATGCAGGATGTGGCACTGGAACAACACTTTACATCCTGAAGGCATGAGAGATCACAGAAGGCCACCTCCTCGGGAAATGGGAACAACTGCTCCCTCCTGCGCCACTGACAGGTTAGATTAGGAGCTGCAAATGTTTCTGTTCCCGGAAAGAAACTGCATGATTTTTCTGGGCTACGTTCTGAGTAGTTTGGGCATTTTTTTATTGTGTAACTTTTTCATCTTCGTGGTACCATTCCAGGAACTTCCCATAAACTGGAAGAAGGTATAACTGCTTTTCATAAAGTTGTAAATGTAAAAGATAATGTGCATGTGAAGGTTGCTGGGTACTTATTATAGTCCAAGATAAAAGCCAACATAAAGCAGCAGCAGTGTGGGTGCATTTCTTTTGAAGCATGAAACATGATCTAACAGCTAACTGTATCATTGTACTTTGCACTTGCTGTTGTGCTTATTATGGCCCCAATTCAGCAAAGTGCTTAGCTCATGCATAATTTTAAGCATGCGTATTAAAATCAAGAGGTGTTTTCACCAGCTAAATGTTAACAAAGATGTTTAAGTACCTTATTGATTCTTTATTAAAATTTGAGGCCACAGTTTCCAAAAAATGGTGCATGGTTTGGGGTGCCCAGACTGAGTTCCCTTGATGGAGCCCAGTATTTAGAATACAGTGAGCATTTATACCCTAGCCATTAGGCCCTGAGGACCCTGAGAACTGAGACACTCACAAACCACTACTCACTTCTGAAAATCTTGCCCAGTATTTGCCCCGTCACACTTCCACATGTGTGGCCCTTCGTACCAACCCTCTTGCAGTTAATCTTCTTGGAATCTTCTTCTTCCTCTGCTTGGAACTGTACAGGAAGGAACAACTAGTTACAGCACTGCACCCTTCCCCAAGGACCAACTCCAATACAGGCTTCCTGTGTGGCCTTGGCAAGTCACTTAATTTTACCTGTGCCTCATTTCCTCACTTCTGAAATGGGGATGAGTTTCCCTTATGTCACAACAGGGGGATTCACAACTTAAAATTAGGTAACCTGTGAACCAGTCACAGTCTAACTGCAGCAGCACAACCCTTTGCAGCTGCAAAACACATGGAGAAGTAGGAGAAACTAGCACAAAGAGCTATGCTGACACAGCTAGATTACCCCCCTGGACTCATACCAGCTTGCTTCAAGGTACCTGGGGCATGTCTACACTACTTTGCTGTGTCCACAGTGTGGTCATAGTCATTATTTCCTTGTGCTCTCCATCTCTGTCTACCTGTCAGCTCTACTCTGAGCCTCAGGCTGTCAGCTCTTTACAATAGGGCCCACTTTTTCCTGTCTTTGTCCCTGTTACGATGGGGCTTCTTGGTGCTAGGATAATCCGAATAAGTATCAGTAGGAACCAGGACAGATAAGAAGGTGGGGAAAAAAACTGTACCATTAAGTCTACTGGGCCCTCAACACTGTAAGAACTGGATTTATGAATAGGACCAGTCAGAAAATGGCAGTAAAACCTCATTAATATTTCTTAGTTTTTTCATCAGAAGCTTTGCGGGGGCCAGGCTGCTAGCTGTTTACAAACAGTTTGATGTATGCTTGTTTCAATAATAGCCCAATACCCCGGAAGTGCCACAGATGCTTGTGTGGGGAGATCATTTTATTATTCTGCTGTAAAGGCTGGGGTGCAGGAACCGTGCTGAAGTGCTGCCCTCTGCTGACAGCTGGAAATGGGCACCTGGCCCTTTAGGTGAAAACAGTTGCACATGGCTGAGATGCCAAGTACATCACTGCCTTGCATGCCCCTGGCTGTAGGAAACCGGGTGCCTTAACCACAGAAACCTGAAAGCTAGACAGACCTGTGACCCTTTGGGTGTTATAAGCAGGCTAGTGCCCTTTCAGAAGAGCATGGACAGGCCCACTTGTTACTCCTTAGGCCAGTGCTAATCAGGTCTAATGAGGGACAACTGGCCTCTGCAAAACTCAGCGCTAAACTGCTGCTCAAATGCAGGACAGTGGAAGGGAAGGGGCTATGTGCAGTCTGGTCTAGACACTAGGGAAAAGGGGCACAGACTGAGCCTTTTCTCAAGCAAGAGATCATGACAAGCTGAGCTGGGTGAAATAGTTTCCTTGTTTGTTAAGAAGAGAGGCAGAAAGCTGTGTGGCTTGAGAGGAATTGTTTCTGTGTTCTGACAACATGGCACAGTGCTATGGTGTGTTCAAATGGTGTAGAGATTGCTTTGTACCTGGTTACTGTGGAGAATGCAATGTCTGAATGAACCTGGATTTTATCTGTAGCTGGAAAGGTGTGGGCCAGGCTCTGTGGGAAGACTGATACTAATTGCGGCTATGCTAGGCAACCAGGAAGCACAACTAATAATAGAGCATAAGGCCAGAAAGGACCATCAGCTTCCCTCGACTACCACTTTGCATCAAGAGTAGCTTGATTCCAGTAGTTATACTCTGTGTCATTAGAAAAGTGGTGGAGTTGCAGGTAGGAAACAGGAGGTGCAACTAGAATGACCTTGTTATTCAGGGAATTGGTGTATAGATCACAGTTCTTTCTGGCTTCTCAAACCTGAAGGTAAGAGAATACCAAAGCTCAGTGCTGATCTGCTAATAGTGCCTTCGCATTCCTGTGGGGAGCCACAGAGGGCACATCTACACGTTCATTAATGCACCTTTGCTACTGCATTTATTTTAGTACCTACGGGTGCCTATACATGAGCAGAGAGGCTATTCTGACATGCTGTAGTCCCAGCACATCACAGCAGACTCAGTTAATCAATTGCCATGCTCCAGCAGCCTCCCGCATCTTGTGCATCGGTGTCCCCATAATGGCAGTATGGGCGCTTTATCGAACGCTCGTCAAATGAGCTTTAAATAAGGCATCCCCACCACTACTACAAAATGCCAGGATGCTGATACACAAGATGCTCTGGGTGCTTTAATTAGAGTGGCTCTTGAAGCCGCTCTAATTAAAGAGATCACCCCCCACCCCAGCACGTGCATAAACGCCCTCTAATATGAAGTACTAGATGAAGGCACAGTACCTGCATTAATGCACAACAGCAAAGGTGAACTTTTTTGGGGGGGGATGTTTAATACACAGTAGACTAATTCTATTGTGCATTAGCGTGGTATTTGCCATGACACACTAATACACAGAACAGTCCACCGTATATTAAGGTGTCTCATGTAGATGTGCCTGGAGTGTTTCTAAATATGCATCCAGCAGGAAAACAGCATTCATCGGTAAGAGGGAATAGAAGTTTTTATTAACTGCTTCAAAAGAAACCAACGTGCTCACCTGAGTTTATATTAACAAGTTTAATAAAAAAGTTATTATTTGCATACAAAGTTAAGGAAAATAGAGTATAGTAAAAAGCTTAAAATTACCAGTCCTTTCTGAACAGAAGGGAAGGTCCCATAATCAAATAGGGCAAAAAATACAAGTTTTTGTATTTTATAATATTAATAAAATGCGAAGAAAATCGGTTGGTAACATTTGCCAAAGCCTTTTGTACAAGGGAGATCTACTTGATTACATATGATCTGGTAAATTCTGTAGCCTGTGGCTCATTGTAGAAGGCAAGCAGCTGACTTTGCTCATTGTAGGAGGCAAGGAGAAGCTCACAGTTTACTGCCCTGTAAACTTCAGATTTGGACATCGGTCACGGTAACGTCACCTGTAATTTCCAGAGTGTCAATCTGCTGCAGGTTTTGAACACGATGCTTATACTCAAACTGATCTTGCTCATTCACAGCCACCTTGAAGCAATGATCTTGACATGAAATCCGAATCTGTCAAGAAGGGAGGGTGCAGTGAAGAAATGTTACAAAGCAACATTTGTAGTAGATTCTACAAGCATTTGTAGTAAACTCTAAAAGATGCAAACAAGGAGGAACTAAAGCTAAATCCTGTTTCATCTTCATAGGCCTGAGGGGCAACTGCACAGCTGCAATTCTTGGCATTTGTAAGGAACTTCTATTTCTATCCCCTTCTCACCCAGGGAGGATTTAAATCCTTGTTTCCCCACTTCCCAGCAGAGCACTTCAACCACCAGATCACTAGCTAGGTGCTGTCGCTGGCCAGCTGGGCAGTGAGGAGGGAGGTAAAAGCCCGGTGGCTCAATGAGATGGCTGCATCCCTGGATGGAGGAGATCCTGCACTCTGGCTCTCAGCATTTAATATTCATTGGATCAACAGCACTGATTTGGTTTCTGCCCCACTAGGAACAGGGGCCAGGGCTGGCTAAAAGGGGATGGGGGCCAGGGCCTTGGACTCATCCATCACTCTTTCAGAGGTAAGGGGTAATGTGACCTGGGAGATTGTGCATTGGTTTGGGGGCACAGGCTCAAGCATCTTAATTCTTGCTCCCTTTTGGGTTGTGTAGGTATACGGGTGTGTGTCTACACATGCATTAATGCGCATTTCCTAATGTGCATTAAACTTAGTACCTCCAATGTGAGGTACTAAATGAATGCATATTAGGCTGCCCTAATGTGCAGTACTGAAAGCACACATTTTTAAAGTGATGCTTAATGCACGGTAGCCTATTTTAATGTGCATTAGTGTCACTGCATGGTTTTTTACGTGATGCTTTAATGCATAGTTAAATAGGCTACTACGTATTTGAGCATGTGTGTAGACAGGCTCAAGGAAGTCCCATTGCTATCTTGGTTTTCTCCCCCTCTGTAAGCTGGGAGAGCAATGCTGACTAGCTTGTCATGGGGTTGAAGTGAGCACTAGCTAGCAGTATGTGACGGATGGCTCTGGAGCTGTTGCTCGCTGAGTTGGGGCTGGGATGGAGTAAACATAGGTTACAGTGCACCGTTAATAGCCCAGAGGTTGCAAGTTCGAGCCCGTAACAGAAGCACTCATGGGTCCTGTCAGATGCTAATGAATCTGTGAATTTGGCTAAATACCTTTGCGCAAGGACATGAAAAAGTGCTAACATAACGGACTGACAGGCCAACAGGTCATTGTTGTTCTCTAAGGGTGTAACAGGGTGGCATGTTTTAAAAGGGATCTGCTTACAGTGAAGTTCTGTCCCCGTGCAAGTGGCATTGTGCCCGGCATATCACGCTCCTCCGTCCCCCAGGTCTGATGCACAAATGAGTTTCGGACAATGACGTTCTCATCAAACCTTGGGTTCAGGTGCAATGCAATGTCATTGCCGGACTTCAAGTTAACGTGGAACCTAAGCACACAAATCCCAGTGAGATAAACTGAATGCATCAGACCCCAGCTACACCAAAATGTCCACCGTTCAGACTGAGGCATTGTAATGTTCTAGAAAAGTATAGAATTAGGCAGGCCCTAATCTTGTAGCTACCACTTGCTGCTGGCTTGGTTAGCCACCTCTTGGCAGTTATACTACTGTCCTGTGCTGAGCTGCTGAAGCTCCCCTTTGTTTATAGGTGGAAGCTATAGGCTTCCAACTAGGTTGTGATTTCCTGTGTGCGACTACAAATCAGTCAGATATCTGCCAGTTTCCTTTGATGCCTGCAATTCATTTCTGGTGCAAAGTACAATAAGCACGCGTCTGAGACCTGTCCAAAGACTCAGTCCTTCAAAGGCTGCCTGAGCTTAAAAGTGATCACCTCTTGTTCTGTGTTTAAACATAATGGAGCTTAGCTTGGCTAAAGGCTTTCATTCCATAAAGTGGGTACAATTTTGCCTACACGTGCACAGCCCTTCTCTATATGACACAACAGTGGCGTGGTGCCCTTTGCAACCCACAACTCTCTGGATCCAGTGTAACATTCCAAGAATTAATCTACCTGCTGCAATGTCACTTCCTTCACTGAGGTCTCCAAAGCAGCTTTGCCTTATTTGGCAGAACTATTTTCTTTCTGGTCTCCAGCATGTAACTGTTTGCAGTTGTATATGTTGAATGCCTAGAGGATTACAGCAGCACTTTGCAAAATGCTTGGGCAGATGCCCTGGTTCCAGGCTGACAGACCCCAATCATCACACTGAGTTGCGCTGAAATGAGTGGGATGTCCTGGGTAATACTTATAGAGTCAGGGTTAAAACAATGCAGACTGCAAGCAAAAGGCACAAACCTGCTCCTAAAGATACAGTATGGCTTGCAGTGTAAGCTGAGGCACCTACATTGACTCTCAGTGAGTTTAACAGGAAGATTTCCAGTGCAGCCCACCGATGCTGGTTCAGGTCCCCAGATTACTGCATATCAGCCAATTAGGCTGTGTTTGTGGGTGCTGTGGACAGGAAGAAATGTTGCAAATTAGGCTGTGTTTGTGGGTGCTGTGGACAGCAAGACATGTTGCCCCAGCCTCTGAGGAACGCAAGAAGAAACAGATTCAAATGGAATCTGTGCAGCTGAGTCAACTGGAGCTATGCACTTGTCAGAGGAACTGCATCAGGGCAGAGAGCTTTGAAAACAGACCTACGACTTCATGCTGGTGGAGGGAAAACCTTTGGCTGACAATCTGTAACTTCTGCAGAGCCTCACAAAATCTAAATCTAGCTGCAGTGCAGCCTTCAAGCCCCCTCCTGCCCCCGCTACTTTACCTGTTGCTGTTGGAAAGAACTTCACCGCTGATCATAATGGACTTGGAGGGAAGCAGTCCTCCAGTAATGGGCTTGTGCACAGTCCGCTGGTAGGGAGAGGAAAGAGGAAAGCTGGTTTTAGACAGCATTGAGAGCACATTTGCCTCTTGCTTTTCCCAGTGGGGAGCCCAGCTTAGCTAAAAGATTGCAGATGAACTCTGGCAGCCCCTGGAAAGCACCCTGATGTTTTTGATGCATTATTTAATGCTCTTGAGCCTCTCGCCTGTAGAGAGCACACAGAGCCTTGCAATGGCAGTGATCGCTGCCCTGCACTATAGAGTAAGCACTACTGAATATATCAGTATTGCAGTGTCAGTGATGTTAATGCTCAGATCCTGATGGGAATGAGCCTTGTTCCACTCCACTGAGTGGTACTGCGCACACTGCTGATATTCCTGTGCAGAAACACAGCCCCCTAAACTCTTTCTTTCTAAAAGGAGCCTCAACACTTGCAGGCAGGCTTGCCAGTGAACTACAGAACAAGTCCCATAGGAAAACCACTGGCTTCTAAAATAACTGCTCAACAGCCAGATAGTATGATGGGCAGTATTCTTGGCCAATGTCTTGATGAAGAGAAGCCACTCCTCGTGATTCCCTATCTACTGGCTCTCTAGAGCTCATGTCTTGATCTGGAATTCTTGTTCTGGCCTTTCAGAGCTTAAAGTATTCTCACTGCAAAAACATTCACAGCAAAACTAAGGTGCAAAGACTTACGTCATTCCGTGAGCGCCAACCAAAGGCAGCACTAGACTACAAATAAAGGGAAAGGAAAAAGATGGCTTATGTAAATATCGAAGTGCATCTCAGCTGCCAAACTACAACAAAAGCGGGCTCACAAATATCATAAGCCAGCGTTTCCATTATGAAGTTTTTAGCCATATGTATTTGTCTAAATATACTTCTCAGCTCTGCTGCACATATATTGATTTAGACTGGGAAGGAAGGAAGTTCCAGTAATACAGTACTACTCTAGATTCTCTTTGAAAAAATAGCTGAAAAGCTCTGTATCTGTCCAAAATAATCACAGGACAAGTCCTGTTCTGAGCTATGTACCAGCAGTCTCTTTGGAAACTTTAATCTCAGGCTGCAGAAACTACATGGTTGGATAACACAGTCTTGCCCAGTTGACTATTCTTAGAAGTCTCCATTTTTCAAGACTAATTCAACTACTGCTGAAGCAGAAGGTGCTGGCAGACTTCTAGGGGTGTGTCCAGAAGTTATTCTGAGAGGGGTAAAATCTGGATCAATGCTTCAAGCAGCTAGAACTAACAGAGTTTACACTAAAACTGCAACTTGGCTCAGTTGTATAAAGACAACTACACAGTGGGGGATTTCCTTCACCAAGTGCAAATGGATTCACAACTTACACTCATGTGGGGCACTGTAGGACAGGACTCCGGAGTGGAAGAAGCTGGACTGACCTGAAAAACAAAGACCCAACTTGGCCCATGGTATCAAAAGGGTGTGGGAGGAGGGAAACTTCCCCCAATAAAATCAAATGAATTTGGCATCACTTTTACTCACTCCTGGTCCAGGGGTTTTCTGCAAAAGTAGAGGAGCACTGTACTGAAAAGCAAAAGATAATCTTGGTCATGACGAAAGTACTCACTAGGAGGCAGCAGCAACACAGGAAAAGTGAATCTCTGCACTTGCGCCATAGAAAATCATGCAGGATGCTCAGACGCTGACTTTTTTTTCTAGTCAGGGGTGCACTGATACAGATTTTTTGGGGCCAATACTGATGGTCAATTCTTAACGAGCCATATCGGCTGATACCAATCTGATTGCAGATATGTCACCCGGCAGCAGGGAGAACAGCATCTGGCTGGTAAGTCTGTTGAGGGGGGAGGGAAGGGGTGTGGGGGGAGCAGATCGAGGTTCCGCGGTGAGGTAGGGAGTGGGGTTTGGGGCTGGGGCAGGACGTGGGACTGAGCTGTGAGCAGCTGGTCCAGGGGGCGCGGGGCAGTGGCCCCCCCCATGCCCCTTCCTTCCCCTGTGCCCCTTTCACCACAACAGACTTACCAGCTGGATGCTGCTTGCCACGCTGTTGAGCTGCGAAATTATCGGCCACATCAGCCTCAAAAAGCTGATTGCCAATAATGTCGATTTTCCTTTTATCTGTGCCAATATGATGCATCAGGGCACCTCTATTTTCTAGGCTCCCTTTTGGCAGCCTGCTATTATGATGCATGGTGTGCCCTGACAGCCTTTCTGCTAAAAGTCGTCTGGAGTCCTGGGACAATGGAACGAGTCTTGCTCTAAGTTCCTTTGCAAGGGGTAGAAATAGACATGACTTGTCAGCTTTGTTCTAGCTTCTGGATCTCATAACAGGCTTTAGTGCTCTTGTATTAATTCTGCACCCCCCCATCTTGCTCCTACTCCAGAGCTCTCACCAGATCTGTGGGACCTCAGGAGGTTTCTGCTCTGCCTCCCTCGGGGCTTTGAGTCCAGCTCCTCCACTGCAGCTGGATCCAGTGCGCCTCCAGCCTCCTCTGTCTCTCTCTTTTTCTTTCCTGTTTGAACTGCTGTTCTTGACCCCTTTTAGCTGCGGAGCTTCCCTATATGCATGTGAGCTGCTTCTTGAAAAGGGGGCAGGGCATGCCTTGCTTCCTTTCTGACTTGCTCCAGTGGCAATGCAGGTTGCTCTAGCCCCTGCCTTAGCAGAGTAAACTTTCCTTTAACCCCTTCTTGTCTTCATTCCTCTCACACAAGTGGCTGGGGAGTCATGGTTGATTGGCCCCTGGGAGTCCCAGCAAGCCCAAAAGAAAGAGGGCTGAGTCCCAACACCCCTGGAGAGGGGAGTGCACGGTCTCCTGGAGGAGAGCAGTACATTTCTGTGCAGAGGCACAGAGGAAGTCCAGGAGCATGATGAACCTGGGTCCTGGCCCAGGGATGATCCTCAGGCAGTCGGAGTGGAAGCTGGCAAGAGTAACTGGTGGAAAAGAGTTGGCCATTCTACCCACTGCTGCTGGGATTGGGACATGGGGTAAGCCTCTTTTTGCAGGGAGTGGCTGTGGAGCCTGCGGCGGTGGAGACTCTGGGGAGCCGACAGGCTGCCGATGGTGGGGCCAGCTGGAGGGTACCAACAGGGAAGCCTTGCTGATTTGTTAAGTCTGAGGACAGTGAATATGTAACTGATGATGCATAAATAAGAATTGATTGACTGATGAAACAGCCATCAATCAAGGAAGTACAAGGACTAAGCGATTGATGCTGGAGTCTCAGAGCGAGTAGCCATAAATAAGGTCCCCTTTGATCAAAGGCATGCATATAAATTAAGGGGGCATAAATAAGGATGAATTGAGCCCTGAGGACCTTGTGAACTGGAAAGGTCTAAATAAGTGTTGAGCGATCGGGTAAGCCATCCGTCAAGACACTCAGGCATACTTGAAAATCATAGGTCCAGCTGGCAGGTGTGGTGAGGACAGGGTGTAGGGCAGGTGGAGCGCTGTGAAAAGGGCACACTTCCTGTTGACAGAGCTCTGTTTCCCTTTTTTTTTTTTTTGCAACTCTTGGCTTCTCCTCTATTTGTTTTACATCAAGGTGTGGCAGGAGAGCACAAAGGAAGTGGGTAACAGCTCTCAGGAAGAGCTGCAGGACACATTGCACCTGTTGACACAAGACATCAACAGTACCTCATGCTTCACCTGTGGCAAGTTAGGGTACTGGTAGTTGGGTGTGAGGGTTGTCCATGAAGTGTTTAAGGCTAGATTAGACAAACCCTTGCCTAGGATGGTTCAGACAGAGATGATCCTGCTTTGAGCAGGGGGTTGGACTAGATGTGACTGCCGCAGGTCCCTTCCAGCCCTACTTCTCTATCATTCTAAGAAAATGAAGAAATGGAATATAAAGTAGAAAAAAAGAAATGCAATGAAACATTAGGTCAGCTGGTAGAAGAATCCAATAATTTTACATGAAACGAGGCTGGGAGGAAGAAAATTAGTCCAAGAGGCTTGAATTAACAGGCTTATTAGCTAACACAGGGGGTGTCAACTGGGGGTACTTGAGAAGGCCCAAGAGGGTATGTGCGGGGGGCAGGGACAGAGCGCCACCATACAACATCCCACGCTGCCACGCGCAGCTGCCGCCCACCCAGCCAGATGCAGGGGAAGCTTGCACGCGGTACCTGCCGCTGCTCTGCGTTCGGCTGCGTGCCACCCCCCAGCCCACTCTGCGTCCAGCCACTGGGGGTACACTGATCCAAAAAGGTTGAAAACCCCATGGCTAACAAATAACCCTGTGGAAGTAGCAAGGCCTAATACCAGAGCAGTGGTCTGGGTTCTAGTCCTGCCTCTTCTATGAACCTGTTGTGTGACCCAAAGCAAATCATCTGAAAACAGATCATGTCTGACCCGTACTCAAACTAAGTACCGTGTTCCACGAGCCGCCTTGCTGCAATAGGCATACTCAAGGACTGAGACAGTACCACCTGCTATGATTTAGGGTATGGTCCTTATTGCAGCTCCAGTTTAGGAAGGCCCCCAGTTCAATAAGTGCCCTTAACATGTGGTTTATGGGCTTTCTTATGTTGATGCCTCTGGTTCTTCAGTATCTCCATCTTAATGCCCCTCCCTCTTGCAGAAAGAGCCATACTATTGGCACTTACACTGATTTCTTTCACATCCACACACCCGCACACAGCGATGGTGTCCACTTTGGCAAGTGGAATCCTGTGCTTGTACTCCACAAAATGCTTTCCTTCTACAGTGACTTGCCGCGAGTTAAAAACATAACTTCAGATCTTTTCATGCATGCAAAGTTAGAAAGCCAGAGAACAAGATAAATGATTCCTTAAACTTCTAATATGGAGGAAGGTGCAAGGAGAAACCTACCACCATCTCCTGTAGCTCAGGCCTTGAGTAATGAACAGAAAAGAAATTGAATAAACTTGGCTTATGCAAAGGAATTAAATACACGTGCATCGAGGCTGCTCCGACAGGCTGTAATTACAACAGGTCAGAGCAGACTCACCTTAATCAAGTCTGCTGGAGCGTGGTAACTACTGTGACTCCAGTGTCATGGGTATCAGCATCCCTATACTGAAAAATGGTGGTGAGGGCACTTTAGCTAAAGGTTGAATGAGCTTTAAAGCGCCCTGCCACCATTTTTCAGTGCAGGGTTGCTGATACACGTGACTCTCTGGGTGCTTTAATTAGAGTGGCTTGCAGAGCCTCTCTAATTAAAGCGCCCCCCCCCCACCTCCTGGAGCACATGTATAAATACCTTAAATTCCTAATCTCATAAATACTAAACTGTGCTTACCGTGACATATGCATGGATTCAGGGAAGTCACTGGACATGAAGGCACCTTTATGTATGCAAACATACATGGGCACAAGTGTTTCTGGGTCGGAACCTAACATGACAAAATAAAAGGCCTCTGCTCCCATTTTCTATTCAGTAAGGGTAAAAATGTTAAACTACAGTTGCCTGTAAAATATAACAGTAAAAACAAAAATTACCGTGTGCGAGTCATTCTTGACCCATATCTCAATCTTAAAGGGCTGACTTTTCACAAAAGGCGTTTCATGCTTTCTCTCCTCTGTTCCCCAGTTCTCTCCAGAGAATTGCAAACTACATACTCAGCCCCTTCAAAGCATGGGTTGAAATGCAAAGCAATATCTGCTTGAGGAGACTGGGAAGTTCCACACTGGAAGTTTATATGAAAACTGTGGAGGGAAAAAGATGCAAATGAAACCATGGTTAAGAAAAGGTGGTGTGGTTTGTTTTTCACCTGAGAGCAGAACAGCCTCTGTTAAGGACTAACTCCTGCCTTAACTCATGTATCTCTCCAGATTGAACACAAATCGTGCTAGAAAAGCTAAAGCAGCCAGGTATTAAGTCATTTCTTGATGTCAATCTAGTTTTGAAAATGAACAAATGATTAAGGCTTTTCAAATGAATTTTGTCCATCTGAAAAGTCAGCTGTGCTTCAAATGTTGCAGTCCTGCCAATAGTTACTTCTGGGCCTCTTCAATATTCAGTCCTTTATATTTAGGACAATTCCCAATAGTATCTGAAGCCTCAAGTTTTAAGGCAACAGTACACAGTATGTTACAACCCTGCTGGGCCCATTAAGATTTCCAGTTTTAACAACACTGAGACTCTTGTGCTGTAAGATTAATACCACATAAAAACTGCAACTGCATATACAGACCCTCCCACTCCCACTCCAAACTTCAGGCACGATCCTGCAGATATTCGCCCTGCACGGGTAGCTCTGTGGATTTCTAGTGAACTACTCTTAATAAGAAGCAGCTTGAAAAATCAGTTTCTAATGAGTGGAGAATGCAAAGATTGTAATATTTCTCCTAGGTGGAAATGAAAATTCGTATTTCACAGGAGAGCTGAAGGTGTTATAAGATCTCTGGGTTGGAAAAGTTCGTTTTGTGCAAATTAGGCTCCGATAAAAGTTAGAGCAGTCTATTGCCAAACTAGTGTGTTTATTCCTGCATTGTATGGAAGATGGTCTGCAGAAAGGGCACCATGCCTTTGTTGTTTGTAAATCTAAAATCCATCAATGGCGCTATCTCCTTCAGTGAACTGTGATGTACAAATTTGCCTCCGTCTTCTGAATAATGGTTGGGCAGAGCACAAGAGCCTAACCCCAAGAGCTTGGCCAGCAAACAAACTCTTCTAACATTTTCTGGGTCTATTAAAGGAGACTGCCAATTCAGGTCTTGTGGGTAGTACACAGTTATGAGAAGATACAGAGCAGAGTTTGGTCTTTCAAACTTTGGTGACCAAACAGTCAACCAGTGACACAATAAATGTCAATCTTAATAGTTATTAGTGTGTTGTGGGGTTTGCTTTTATTTTCTCCTTACTCTGCATTACATTCAACTGGCCTAATGCAAAGCTAGAATGACTTTCGGCTTTCTTTTACGTGCCAGAACCTCAACTGATGTTAACTGGTAGAACGCTACTGGTATCATGGAGCATGAAACTCCTTTCAAACTAGTCCATAACGCTAGTACCCTGTTCTTCCAAGGCCCTGCTATCATGGTGCCTAAAGAAAACTGCCAACAAATGAGGCCGATTGCAGGAACTGCTGATCAGCAGGTTGTTTCCCCCCCGCCCCACTTCCAAAGATTCTTCGGTGGGAATTTGTTCACCAGGCTCTTATGCACCTAAGTTACATGGTTAATTAGGCTCTTGGGCCTTTCAACTGGCAATACGGAGAAGGAGCATGTAACACAACAGGACCAACCATTCAGGTCCAGGGTTGGGAGCTCCATTCTGCCACATGTGTCTGGACTAGACTGTCCTGATACAAGAACCCAAGACACTTTAAAATATCGGACCTCTGAGCTCACAGTGATGAAGAGGTCGGTGTCCTTTTTGAGATGAGTGATGTGCACAGACTTTGCATTGAAGGCTTATCTGTCCACGCAGCTGTTGAGATAAAGCTGGAACAACAGCTCTGGAAATAAAGGAAACTTCAGCAGGTACAAACCCATAACATTTGGCAATCGAGTAGAGCGTTCTCTTGGCTGATGTTAAACACAAATCAAACTCCTCGATCCATACAAACACACACACCTGTTTCCTGAAGAATGAATGACTCCAGC